AAAACTTAATATATTTAATTTTTAATAAACATTTAAAATAAAATAAAAAACATTTTTCATTAACTTAAACTGAAGAGATTCAATCTTCCTCATTCATAAAAGAAGAAAACATGTATCTTCCCTCGTGGCCTTAGAAAGATTAAGGGTGATGGTGATGTGTTGCAACTAATTAGGGATGCTGATGGATGTGAGGTAGTGGATTTGTATGTTGAGCATAGTATTAGTGTACCTAACAGGGTCTTGTCCCAGCTGATGGATGTGAGGTAGTAGATTTGTATGTTGAGCATAGTATAAATCAAAAGGAGTTTGCCTTCATTTCTGATCAGCAAAAGATAGATCATTATTGTTTTATATTATTTTCCTACTATTGTTTTTAAATCACTTGTGTAAGTTGTATACAATGGTTAACTGCATTGACTTGTAATTGGCAGGTCTTGTCCCAGCTGTCCAAGGCTTGAGTGAGCATGTGGAACAAAGACTATGTGTGAAACATTTGTATGGCAACTGGAAAAAATAGTACCCTGGTATAGAGTTAAAAGAGGCTTTATGGAGTGCTACAAGAGCTACAACTATTCAAGGATGGGAGAGGGTAATGTTGATGATGGAGGCTTTAAATGAATCAGCTTGGAAGGATATGAAGGAGGTGTCAGCATAATATTGGAGCAGGTCACACTTTAAGACATATTCAAAGTGTGACCTTCAGGTAAATAATATGTGTGAAGCCTTTAATAGGGTCATCCTAGAATATAGGGACAAACCTATTATCACCTTTTTAGAAGGGATAAAGCATTACTTGGCTAAGAGAATCACTAACCAGAAGGAACTCGTGGTAAAGTATGCTGGTAATGTGTGTCCAAGAGTTCAATTAGCTTTAGAGAAGAATAAGAAGTTTGCTGAAAGTTGATCTCCAACTTGGCATGGTGATGATGACATGGCTATTTTTGGTGTAACAAGTGGTATAGAAACTTATTGTGTCAACATCAAAGAAGGTACGTGTGCTTGTAGGAAATATGACTTAATTGGGACTCCTCGTAGCCATGCTATAACATATATATGGCATAACAAGAAACATCTTGAAGAATTTGTTTTTGAGTATTATATATATGTCATTATATGTATATTAATTATTTTCATCTGTTATGAAATGTATATTTCTGAGTCTTTTTGATTTGTGCAAGAAGATAACTTTCCAGAACACATACTCTTACATCATATATCATATAAATGGCCCTCAACTATGGCCTGTAGATGGTACATTAATTGTCAATCCACCAGTGATGAGAAGGGCAATTGAATGCCCGAAAAAGCCGAGGAACAAGAGCAATGATGAACCAAAGGGTCCACATGTTCTGCCAAGAAAGATAACAATTGTCACTTCTACAAAATGTAGATCCATTGGGCAATAATAAAAGAACATGTAAAGGGAAAAGAGCAGCCGATAGGGTTATGCCAAAGGGAGGGAATAAGAAGCAAAAGATCACAAAGGGAAAGAGCAAGGGCAAGGGCAATGGCAATGGCAAGTGCAAGGGCAAGAAGACACAGACTGCACCACAACCCATACAAGAAGTTGGTTCATGTTCACAGGGACCACCAGCTACTCAAGATTAGAACTTATGTATTTTATGTAATGGTTCAGACATATGTATTTTGGATTATGTAATGGTTAAGACATACGTATTTTGGGATATGTAATGGTTAAGACATATGTATTTTGAGTTATGTAATGGTTAAGACATAAGAATTATGTATTATGAGTTGAACAAGTTATATTGATATTTGAACAAGTTATAATGAATTTGGTATGTTATCTAATGACTTTGGAATATACTGATAACATTCTTAGAGGTCTGATATCACATTATAAGCCATTACAGACATAATAATTATAGGTCTGATAAGTCATTACATGTCTGACAACAGACATAAGAATTATGTATTATGAGTTGAACAAGTTATTTGGTTGGTGAGTTGAACAAGCTTAACAAGTCATTACATGTCTGTTATAACATTGTTAGGTCTGTTATAACATTGGTCTGTGTTGGGATGATAACATTGTTAGGTCTGTTATAACATTGGTCTGTGTTGGGATGATAACATTGTTAGGTCTGTTATAACGTCTGTTATAACATTGGTTTATAAAATGGCTTAACATTGGCCTGATATATTAAGTCTGTTATTTTGAACAATGCTTGTTATAAACCAACTTTATAAACCAACTTTATATAATGTATGTTATTTTGAACAACTTTATATGTCTATTAACATTAGTTTATAAACCAACTTTATATGTCTGTTATTTTGAACAACTTTACAAGTCTGATATCACATTATAAGCCATCTTTAAGAATGTCATAATAGTGTCAAGTAAATTCAACTTAACATTACTTCCTTGTCATAACAATACATTACAAACACTTAACAAACCTAACACATTACAACCAAACACTTAACAAACATAACACATTATAACCAAACACTTAACAAACCTAACACATTACAACCAAACACTTAACAAACATAACACATTATAACCAAACACTTAACAAACCTAACACATTACAACCAAACACAAACAATACAAACTAATTTATTACATTTGATACAACCAACTCAGTTAACAACACTAATGTCATTCCCATGGTAAACTTGTTCATCATCTTCAAATACTTGATCTTCAACTTCAGTTGATCTTCTCTGACAATGACTTTATTCAACTTAACCTTTTCTTGGTTTAATTTTTGATGCATTGAAGATATCACTTCCTTACCTCGTTGAGACATTTCTTCATTATACCAGACAAAGTGACTACATCTCTTGTATCCCTTATTCTAGACACATGAAGAAATTAGGGATTTTCAGGAGAATACAACAAATTCGGGATTTTCAAAAAATATACATGAAACTAACCTTGTACATTCCACATCCAAAAAAGCGACGACCTGAATTTTAATCAGTCCACGCCATCATCAATGGAGAAGGAATACCACACTTGCATTCGACATAATTGGAGTGAGGACACGCTGCGATTGCTTGATGCTGAATATTCGGACATGGATGCTAAGGGTTTGGGTGAAGCTTGAAACGAATTCTGGAGAAGCAATTGGGAAAGAACACAAACGAATATTAATGATGAAAAATATGGTTTCAACAAACCATATTTTTCATCATATATATATATATATATATATATATATATATATATATATATATATATATATATATATATATATATATATATATGATGAAAAATATGATTTGTTGAATATCTACTTAATAACTTATTATGAAACCTTTCAACACTGTAAGTCAATAATTTACCATATCATCTATATATTGTCATATAAAGATTTTTTTTTAAAGAAAAAATTGAATACCAAAATTATTATTATTTGGCAAAATATAAAAAAATTGCGTGCTAGGACTATGAATATTAATAGTTGGCCCTATTTGTTCTTCATATTTTTGAATTTCTTTATTAATATTTATTTGGTCGTTGAGAGAAGATTAAATATTTGAATATTAATAGTTGGCTCTATTCTTATTTTTGAATTTCTTTGTTAACATTTATTTGGTCGTTGAGAGAAAATTAAATATTTGAACTAGTAATAAGCACCCGATGAGGGAGTGATGATAATTGGAGAAAATTTTGCCAATTGATAGAATTCATTCAAACTTTTAAACCAATAATAAAAATTAATATACTAAATCGTTAACAGTGTTACATCAACATACAACAATGTATAATAAAAAAAATTAAGAAATATTTGGTACTTGTGCATATGCATGTATTAATGTAGTTTGCAAAGAAGCCATAACATATTATCATGCAAACTATTCATAAATTTAAATAAGTATAATTTTATATATTTAATTGGCTCTGATACTCATTGATACATTTAAAATAAACATGATAAATACAAATTATAACAGATTATAATATTATATAATAATTAAAAATAATAACAACAATATAAACAATATACCATCTTGAATTGAAGTGATTATAATCAAAAGAAAATAAAAAAGTATAAAAGTCATTTAGGATAGGTTGAGGGTTGGTTCCAATTGAGTTAAAGCTGATTTGACTACCAATAAACACGTGTCTTACACAAAATCCAAAAAATGTTTTCTTTGGCATGGGGGTATGTCTTTGGAGGACTTTTCAAAACCAATGAAACATTTAAGGTTTTTTAAATCTTTAATGCTATATTTGTTGTCTAAAATAAATTTTAATATGATTGATATAAGATAAATTGGAGTCTGCAAGAACTAAATTGTCTATGTATTAAAACGACACTTAAAGATAATACAAGTTTTTGACCCAACCTACTTTTATTTCAATTCTACCCTCAAAGACCACTATTCTTTTATCAACTTTTTCATTACCATTAGATTTCACGTTGGCTTTACATCTTCCAAATCAATTCATGTGCGACACATAAAATCTTGTGTTTCTTTTTACTTTCATAAAACATAAAATCTTACTACTTTGCTTATGAATTAAAAAACTAGTTTTCTTTTTATCTCTCAATATTATTTATTAATTTTTGCACTTTAAGTTTATTTGTAAACCTCTCCCTAACTTCTATTTATGTTTTTTAAATTCTCTCGGTAAATTGTCTTTCTTTTAGAATGCAACATTGAAAAGAATAGTTAGAATGGCCAATCCATTAAAATTGTTCAGAACAACTCTTGAATGAGTCCTCCCGCCTGTAATTGAAGTCAATAATATTACAAATATCCTCTACTGTCTAGTATAACGGACACACCGTCAAACATTTCAGTAGTAAATAGAAATGGTGAGAACAACCAAATGGATGAAATACACCAAGATTGCTGGTTGGCCCTTAGGAGATACATAATAGATGTAGATGCTTCATTAGAGCAGCAGATCAGTTTTAGTAACCTGTTTGCAGCTCAGAAACAGCCATCAATTCACTAATATTGGGACTGCAAAATGAAGTGATTTCCGTTTCTTTCTTCAATACTAGGCTGTCATGTCAGTCAATGACATAATTAGGAGCTACAGCCAAAATTCTATCATTTCTAGCTGCAGACTCTGTTTGTTCTGCACCAGCAGCCTCTTCTGCTGCTTGTCTCCCATCATCTACCACTATCAAATGCCCCTCTCTTCGAATTAAAATCTACAGTAAAACATTTGATATAATTAACATGTCTGCCTACAATACACTATTTCTTTGAAAGAATAGTATAAAACAAGTATATACCTCTATAATTGCTTTAATTTGGGAAACTTCAGTTTTCGCCTCCTCTACGGAACTGTAGTTATTTTTCTCATTCTGCTGGTCTACATACCATTTAATCAAATCTCGTTGCCTCATCCCAGCCAAGTCACTTCCTGCAATAAATAAGCCCACAGAAAATTCATATTTCAATATGAACACATTGAGCACTTTGTAATATCCTTGACAATGTTTATATAAGTTAATCTTAATGTAAGCCAGACCAAGGGTATACAGAATTTGAATAAATTAAAGAATTTAAATTTTACACAGCAATGTAAATGATCAAAACCTTTGAAGTATAATAGTGTTAAGATATTGTATAAACAAGTTTCAAGTAAAAACCTTGTTGCACAACGGTCTCCTCATGTTGTCTGAGACGCATGACAAGGGCCTTGGTAATCCTCTGAAAGTATTCATCAGTTACAGTTGATTTCTTTCTTTGGGGGTTAGATTCTTCCGCTGCTTTTTCTGCAAAGTAATTAAACCTATGAATAAATAAATTGTATCGCAGAGATGATTGCAAGACAAATTTGGTAGGAGACACCTTACCATTATCACCGTTAGTTCCATCAGCATCGTTATTATTATTATTTCCATCACCGCTGCCTGCTTCTTCCTCCCTATCTTGATCTTGAAACTCAGATAGATCAATCTCACTGGACTCCACTCTGCAAGGAATAAAAAGTAAAATTAGTAATAACCAAAAGTTGGCTCCCAAAGAAGAAATTTAAAACAAACAAGAAATATGGCCTACCTTATTATAGATGTTTGAAGCAGTTTTACTGCTAAACGAACATGGCGAGGTTGTACCTATAATAAAATCAGAAAATCATCTTTAGGCAAGGGAAGGAAAACACATACAAATTCATAATGACCTGACCCTATAAACTTTAAACACCTGATTATCCAAGTGACACCGTGCAATGGCCTCCGACAGCCTGATTAAAGCCTCCAACTGCCTAACTGTCATACGATATGCAACCCTACTTCCAGGATTTGTATCAGCCCTACGGAGAGCAACATAAGAGTCTACCAGTAGTTTTCTTGCATCTGATGTTAGCTGCATTAATCATCAGGTTAAGTAAGAAAGAAGCACAAAGGTAAAATTGAACACATGAAGCTTGATCAATAAAAGTGTTCAAACCTTTGGTTTAAGAGTCTTTGCATAGGCTATATAACGCTTGAGTTCTGCTGTAGTGAACGTTGGAGCAAGAGCATCTTCACGCTTTTGATGAACCCGCACAATGTGAGAAGCTATGTGGTAATCTGTATTATCGTCCGGGTCATCAATCATAATGTATACAAGATCAAACCTTGAGAGTATAGCCGGTGGAAGAGCCACATTGTACTGAAACAATAAAACAGGGAAAAAAACTAAATTAGGCTGTGTTGTACTCCATAAGGCAATTAATAGCCAGGCTAGCAGAACATGTTACCTTCAGCGGCTTAGACTTATCGTACCGTCCTCCAGCAGGGTTGGCAGCAGCAAGAATGGAAGTACGAGCATTGAGTGTTGCTTGTATTCCTGCTTTAGTGATACTAATAGTTTGTTGTTCCATAGCCTCGTGAATTGCAACCTTTAATGGAATCAAAGGTGAGATACAACCCAATCTATGAACGTTTAAAGCCAGTAAAAAATTGTATGCCTCATACCTGATCTCTTATGTCCATCTTGTCAAATTCATCAATGCAGCAAATACCATTGTCAGCAAGCATCAAAGCACCAGCCTGAAAAATAGGTCTTACATTAGTAAACAAGACATGTTTCTTAATACCCACTCCTTTGGAATTTGTTTATAACTCAGAAAACTCCTCAAGTCATGTTTCATAAATAGTTAATGCTAAACTTATAGGGGTTTCTAGATGAAAAATTCTAATTACAACATGCAAATATTTTAGAGTGCTTAGTTCATAATCCAAAACGGGGGACAAATTTGTGAGAAGCAGCTTAAGCAGACTTAACTCTTGTGCATAATATTCATTTATCAAATAACTAATTTCCAGCAAGTACTTTCAACCTAAACCAGCTATAATCCTATTATTGTACTTTGTCGAGTAATTGGGACAAACAGTAGCATTAGTTTAATCTAATTTAAACTAGGATATGGTATGTGCCAATTTAAATTTGCCAAACCAAAGACACAACTTCAGTAACAGATGTTTGTGAATGGTATAAATTTTCAATCTTTTTCCTAGGCTAATCTATCCAGCTGCTAATATTAAGAGTGAAGATATTTCAAAACTTCCAGTAAGTACAAGACAGATTATTGACCTCAATACAAAACTCTCCAGTTTCTGGTTCCTTGGCAACAGTTGCAGTCAAACCAGCAGCAGATGATGATTTACCAGATGTATACACAGATCTTGGAACAATGCTTGAAGTATACCTGAAATGATAACCATACATAATCCATTAAATTTTCACAAACCAGCGTAGGTAATCAAAAAAAAGAATTAAGAAAGAGGGTAGTACTTGAGAAATTGAGACTTTGCACAGCTAGGATCTCCAACAATACAAACATTTATGTCTCCTCTAAGGCTGATGCCTTCATGAGTAGATTTATGGACCCCACTCATAAGCATAAGAAGGATTGCTCGCTTTATATCTTGATGACCAAAAATAGTAGGAGCAACACTCTCAACAAGTTTTGTGAAGAAATCTGGGGTGTTCCTCATTCGTTGAACTTCATCCATTTCCTGTTGCTGTTAAATCAACCAGCCAAATATAGGGCTAATTATTCTCATTTATATCAGAAGTTTGACAAATAACATTGTAATTGTGCACAGAATGTGTTAAAGAAAAATGAACAGGTTAAGGACAGAAAGGTGGCTTGATTAAAGCAATCACAAACATATTCATAACCATAATATAGGTAAAATCAGTCGGTCACAACAGCCGACAATATGAAATCAAAATCAGATGGTGACATAATAATGCAGGTAATATTCAACTTACAGAAAATTGCAGATCATCTTCCTCTGAATCCTTCTTCCTATTCCTGATGTCTATTTCTCTTCTACCATCACAAATCTGGGACAAACCATTCAGAAAACACATCAATCACAGTCTAAGATTACATCACAAAAATTTAACAAACCAATAATAAAACAAAAATAGCCAACCTGAACAGAGTTGGCAATAAAAGCCAGACGATAGGAGAGGTCTCTGACTCCCAAAGCCCTAAGGCCCCTCACACCTTCATTTCCAGATGAAGAACCCTTGCGTTGAGAAGCTTCCCTGCGACATTCTGATCTCTCACCAGGGGATGCCAATGCCAATATATCCGGTATGACAATTACAGTGCCAGTAAAAATCACTCTGCAAGGAGAGAGGAGACAGTTTATGGTTGGACTATTGAGTTGATAAAGTAAGAAAAGTTAAAATTTCAGTAAAATTTGAACATTTCAAGCAAATAAGTGGCAAGAAAAGGCTCACGTGTCACCGGCCCTTGCATGTTCCACAATCTCATGACGGAGAATAACATCCAATGACCTAGGCAAAGAGCCCGCGGGTATCTCTTTGGAAGTCTCCTGCATTCTGACCCTTTGCCAATCAGTAAATTTGCTCTCTTGGCGCAGCAGAGCCCACCTTGTCCTATTGTTACAGGTGGCATTGGGACAGATTGTTGGCTGTAGTGGCACAAATAGAACAATCATATAAAAAATTTAAAGTAATGAATGTATATTACAGTACTAGTATTATTCATTATTCAATAATGACAAGTATCAAAAAATTAACTATTAACTACCTCAGTATACTTGAACTGCTGTTCAACATTCTTTATAACCCCACCACATTCTAGACACTTGAAAGTCCCTTGGAGAAGCTCTGGTCGAACCTCACTTGTCCTTGTTACCACTCCTGTTACAGATACAAGCCTTCCAATCTCTGATGTAGCCAACTCTCTTAACCTACAGATGTTCAAGTTCAGCAGCAAACAACTCATCAAACAGAAACCCCCAAATTTGATTTTCAATCGCAAAAACATACAGAAACATCACAATTCCACAGCCTCCACATCCAATTAAAAATAAGTTAAACAATATTAACAAAATTGAAACAAAAATTGGAAAGGAAAATTATATACCTCTTGACAATTGGAATGTTATAGAAGGCAACATTGATATCCTTGTTAGGGTTATCGTCAGATATAAAGGTTGGCTTGAGCTCCATAACAAACCTCTTGCAGGCATTCTGCAAATAAGGTTCAAACCTATAATAATCAACACAGAAAACAAGTGTTAGTAATTAGGGTTTCAATAACTTCAATTAAAATCTAAAGAAATAAAATCTAAAAAAACCTCAAATATTCATCGGAGACAGCTTTCTGAAGAAGATCGCTGAATCTGATGACATGCTCGAAATCAATGAACATGGTGTTGGACTCGTTAGCTCTCATCACTTCAATCTCCGCTTCGTAATATAGTTCATTCCGTTGTCCAGTTCTAAAACTGTAATTCAACACAAACATAACAGTTATTAAGTAAATCAGAACAAAAATTGCAAAACGAGAAGACGATGAAGAAAACGAAGGGGAATAGAGTACCTTTTGAGGAAATCTAAGAAAGCGTTCTCAACCCTAACGGCTTTCTCATCGACCAAGTAACCGCCGAAAGCTTCCATTTCCGCTGAATCAGTTGATGCTTCTGAGTATTGAGTATAAACCCTAACTTCTACTCGGTATCTGAAGTTTGAGATTTAATTTCTCAGTTCACGGTACTCCTAATGAGCGCGAACATGAGTGGCGGGAAATTATACAAGAGAGCAACGTCTTCCCGCCAAAAACAATGGGCCTTGTTGACGGGCCTAACCTCCCGGCTCAATTTTCATTTATCGTTGGCCCACTAGGATTATCAGCTTTTTTGTTGGCCCACTATGGCTATCAACCAGCAGGGAATTATGAGAATTTAACCTGCCACCTGTAAATTATATCCTGCACCCCCAAATTTTCATAATCCCAAAATTATTTTTGAAAATTTTTGAAACAAATGAAAAAAATTTATATTACCAAAAATTTTCAATATTCTAACAAAATTTTTTGAAATTTCCTATATAATACTAAAAATTTCATAATTTTAAAATATTTTAAAATAAAAAAATAAAATTTTGTCATAATTAAATGGTATCCGATGGGGAGATCACAAGTTAATTCTTTAAAAATTATATTTGAGAAGTTTCTCAATCCACCATGTAGGAGGTTTATCAGAAAATTTCTTCCTCAAAATATATTACATTAATCTAATAGTATATTTTGAGAGACATGAGCATATAGGAGAGTAACTTAAAAACTCCATGTTATGTTTTTTTCCCAGCATCAAGATCGTGTCACTTTTGTACATCTAGGAAAAAAATCACTATATTTGTATAGTTTGAATATGCACTTTTAAATAATTTATATGGTTTTAACCTTCTGAAAAAACAAGAGATTTTGATATGAAGGTAGAGGCAAGGGTAGAGTCAGAAATTAAATTTCATTGTGGCTAAGTTCAAATGACATGATTTGTAATATAAAAAAATCAAGTGTTAAATATTTAATTTATAACTAATAATATTTTTGAGGTAAAAGAACTAATATATATTAATAAAAATAAATAGACTAAATTACAGTTTTACTCTTCAATTTTATTTGATTTACAAATTAGATTTTTATTTTATTAAATAGTTTTAATTTCCCTTTCATACTTTTACGCATAAAATTAATTATGTTTATATTTTTCAAATGATAAATTTCTTATGAAATATGATAAATTATCTATTATAAAATTTTATAGATAAAAATATAAGTTAAAAATTAAAAATAATATCAACTTTTTATAAAAAAATATTTAAAAAAATCAAAACTATTTAAATTTAAAATAAGAAAACTAATTTCAAAAATCATATAAAATTGAGGGATCAAAACTATAATTTAATCAAATAAAATATTACAAACTAATAAGTGTGGCTAAAAAAAAGTTTCTAAATGATGTAAAAGAAAAAATAAGAAAGAAAGAAAAATAGGGGAAAAAAATGATATCTCTGAAAAAATTATTCATTCCATCTCATAATAGGTGTCATTTTTTTTCTCAAATTATTTTTTACTTTAAAATAAAAATTTGATATTTATTATTTGTTTTTATTAACTTATTTTTATTTATTGTAATTTAATCATATAATTACTTCATTATCTATTATTAATAGTTTTGTATTTAAATAAATATCATTCGTCTTATCTTTAAAATCAATATAACTAATAATTATATTTAAATAAATATAAAAATTTCAAAAATAACACGTAAGAGACTGAGGAAGTACTGTATAAAAAGTTAAATTGTTTATATCTTGTACTAAATAGTAAACCTCCAAAGCAGACTTTTCAATTTTAGTAACTTATTGACATTGTAAAATTGAAAGCTTCATACTTTTCAGAACTGATTGTGATGAAATCCATTGATATTGTTTTTGTCCAACATTGATTTTTACTAAAAATGTAATTGTTTATACAGCTCATATATACATCACATGTTTAAAAAAATGTGTGTTGGACTGATAATCAAAGTAAATGGGCTTAGGCCCAGAAGTATTTTCAATATTTTAATTAATTAATTAAAAAATCTTTATTGAGATTAATATTATTAAATATTAATTTAGTTTAAAACATTATTAAAAATTAAATTAGTTTAAAACATTAATAAATATTAAATTATCCTAGTCAACAATGACATATTAAAAATTATTTTTTTTATTCTAGTCATGAAGGCCATGTATGTAAAAATGGAGGGGAACCATAAAAAATCAAAATTAAAGGACGGAAATTGTTGGTTTTGTAATAGGGGAACTAATTATTTAAAACGTCCAAATTAGAGGGACCAAAAATGCATTTAAGTTTACTTTGATTTTGAAGTATTCATGAAATGTTTTAATCTGTCCTGCTTTTTTATAGAGGGATGATCGAGTATCTTCTATATCTTACTGCATTAAGGTTCGATATCATGTTTAGCGTATGCACGTGTGTTCGTTATCAATCGGCTCCTAAACAATCTCAATTAAAAGTTGTAAAACGTATTCTCAGATATCTTCATGGTACTTCTCAATATGGGATTTGGTATTCTAAGGGAAGTGATTGTAACTTTGTTGGATACACTGACTTGCTGATTGCAAATCAGATAGGAAAAGCACTAGTGGAACTTGCCACATGTTTTCAAATTCCTTAGTAAGTTGGCACGGCAAGACATAAGTTTTTATTGCTTTGTCAACCGCTGAGGCGGAATATGTTGCGGCTGGTGGTTGTTGTGTCCAAATCTTTTGGTTTAAGCAACAATTACTTGATTTTGATATAAACTTACAACGTCCCATTATGTGCGACAACACTAGCAATATCAATCTAACCAAGAATTCAGTACTACATTCACGCACTAAGCATATTGAGATTCGCCATCATTTTCTACATGATCATGTTGAAAAATGTGATGTAATATTCGAGCATGTTGATAGTAAACATCAACTTGCGAATATCTTCACAAAATCACTTGCGTCTGAATCATTTTTTAACATCCGAAGAGAATTAGGGATACTCTTACTTTATCCGTCATTGGGATTTTTATCTCATAAGAGTGCATCATTCATCAATATACATGAGAGGTAATATTGTACCTTTCTTTATCTCTTGCTTAATAAGTTTTTTTTACATTACTTGTTGTTCGTGTTCCAAAATGGCTAATATCCTTGATATATGAAGAAGTTCATTAATATTCACTTCCAAAAATTTCTATTAATCTTTGTCAATTATATGTTTATAATGATATTGCTTTATTCCTTCTATATACTTGAAATTTTTCTTTGGTGCATATTAGCTTACTATGTATTTCTTCATGAACTTTGGTCGAACATGTTATGATGTTAAATGAATTCTTGTTGTGTGTCACTGTTATAGTTACATCTCTGTTTTTGGTTTGAGTGGTGATGACTTCACCTATGGTCTTGCTAGAGCACATGTTGTGCAGCATTTCGGAAGCACCAAAAGCATATGTCACGTAATCGTCTCGCTTTTGTAGTAGCTTAAGGGTTTGTGATTGCACTATATCATTCATTGTTCATGCGTGTGTATTTTATTTTAGCATTTCGTGTGGCAATTGTGTTCCATTGTTATGTATTGTTATGTGATGTGTCTGTATTTATGTTTAGGCGTTCTAAATCAATGTGCATATCATTTTATGTGAGTGTTATCGTGTTAATTATCTTCTCTTTGCTAATTTCCTCTATGTGGTATTTTGAATTTGTATGTTGTTATTGATACTTCTCATAGTTTGCTTGCTCTCTTTTTGATTTTGTCAAAGGGGGAGAAAGTATGCGAGTTGAAGAATATGCACATATTCAGGGGGAATCTTCAAAAAGACAACAACGTCGCAAAACACATTGTCTTATGTTTTGCCATCATAAAAAAAGGGAAATATGTGAGTGCTTTTTGTATTTTGAGTGATGGCAAAAACTATGATAATGTAGTGTTATGTATATTGGAGGGTATCCTCCCATTATAGATGAGCATCCTGTATTAGGAAACATTCCAAAATTTTTGAAAGGGAGTCTACATCATAATTTCATTGTAAAAACATGTTTTTGGGCAAACAAGTCAGTTTAGGCCGACATGTGCATGATCCGACTGACCTATACAAAATTTTATTTCAGTATAGGCCGACATATAACTTTTTAGGTCATCACCCATGGAGCAGTATTGAAGTCTGTAGGCTCTGCCCACTGGTCGCCTCATTGGCCAACCTAAATACTTACATAGGTTGACCCATGACCTTCATAGGCCGACCTATACGCGTTCCAACCTCAAAAATTTCATTTTTACTCCAACTTATCGCATTTCTTTTGCTTATTCTTTCACAACCTATATATAATCATACATGCATCTTCTTCTAGTTCAACAAGGTTTTCTAGAGAGTAAAAACCTAAACGAAACCAGAATACAAAGTTGTCCATCATTTTCGTCCCTTGTTCTATGCATACACGCAATTGAACTACACATAATCATTTTTTGATTGGGTGACCATCTAGATTAGTGTTGATAATGTCCTATTAGGTTGGTGTAATCGAGAATATTGAGTTGGGAACTTTGTGAGTTTCAAATAAGAAAACCAAGGTGGAGTTTTCCTTCAAGATCAGCATGATTTGAAGGTTTTGGACAAGATCACATTAACACATATTCGACCGAGTGAAGGCCTTAGGACAAGATGGTTCCTTGCAAAGGAGTAGCGCGAGACGGTGAATTATGTTTGGGAATCTTAGGTTTCAATAATTTGCGTGCTCTGGATAATCAGAGGAATATATTTGTATTGTTGGTCACTTAATCAAGGGTTTGGAGCTGCAAAAATCAACACAGATCATAAGGATTTTGGGGTTTGAGTTCTTCATCTCTTGTATAAACATTTTTGCAAAGTTAAGATTAATTGCAAGTATCTCAATTCGATTTCGGATTAAGAGCAGACGTACCCATAACGAGACCGATTGGGTAATTGCCTAAACAAATATTTGTGTCTCTTTATCACTTTAATTTTCTTTAATTGTTGTTCGTGTAAATTATCAATTTTGTTGTTGTTTCGATTATTTCAATTGAAAATTGTTTTCAACTTTTTTTTAAT